GAAAGTTTGGTACAATGTTAAATATTCACCAGAAGACTGACATGAGCTGTGTGTTCCTCAGTAATGTCGCATCTCTCTGATTCAGTGGAGGTGTTTAATGTTACAGACCTGTTTGGTCACATATTTCATCTCACAGATGGAGGCATCACGGTCGCAGCCATGTACAGGGCTGATGGGGCGACATACGTTGATGTAATACTTCTTCAGATTATTGCTGTCGGATAAGTCCATCACCTGCCAGTTGGAGGTGGTGTGTGACAGGCTGAAATTGAAGAAGAAAAGCTTGACGAGGACGACAGCAGATTGGAAACAATTCAGTGCTGGACTCGATGTACTTATTTTCATTGCCTTTGATTTAGACACTGGTAAAGCATCTGCTGCACAATGCTTTTTAAAAGCATTACCTGGATAAGTCATACTGTTCCAGTGTGTCTGGATCGGTCACCAAACACTCATGAGGCCTTTCGGGGCACGCGTAGGAGGTATACCAGCGGAAGTTGTACGTGTACTTGTCTTCTACCTGAACGAAGATTTTAACAAACAGATGTTTATATACAAATCATACAGGAGACAAAATACATCAAACACTGTTTAAACAATCTGACAAAGAGGTAGGGAGGATTTTACCTGGAATTCTGGGTTTCCTGGTCCAATCTGTGGGTCACAGAGGAAAGAGATGAGCGTAGATCTGGGAGTGTGCTCTTCGTTGTTGTATGGGGTGCCGTTACTGTAGTTTAGCTGAATCAGCCCATCGTAGTACGACAGACGGGAGTTCTGTTCCCCAAGACTCCAAAAACTAAATAGGAAAGGCGGGAGAAAACAATATGATGTAATTTATTCATGTTTCTTTATTGCTGAGTGTATTTAAATCACTCAGTTTCAGGATCTTTAATTTAATAAATGAGTGTGTTATTCAATATTGACCTAAACTTTTTACACACAGTGTTGTGTGTTGGGACGTAAAATGATCAGTATAATGTACAAAATGCAGATTGATAGAAGGAATGCTTAACGTAGGCTTCCAAAAAAAATATAGATCCTAAACTAAATACATTGTTGCACAATGCGTGATGCTCATTTATCCCTCTTCTTTCCATTACACCTTCAATACAGCAGGAATTTGCAGTGCAATCAGATGGAGGCAGATTATTATTGAATTCTTGATCCAATTGGTATTAAAATTAGCAAACTAAGGTAACACAGCAAAAGCACACTACGAATACTTCAGGGATAATTTACATTGATTTCTCAGATTTGTGAGAAAATTCAAGTCAGTTCATTTTTTAACCACGGTTGTTTTTTTTAAAAGTGCTTAAAAGTGGAGTGAAAGTTGAGAAAGTGGGGCAGAATAGAATAAAGCAGTGCGATTCTTCTTGCATGTTTGTAGCCTGTAGTCTTACTTCTTTTCCACCTGGCATGCGCCGGCCTTCTCAGGACACGACGAAACACTGACTGGACCACAGACGTTGATGTAATACTGATAGATGCCTTTAGTCAGGTTGTAAAAGCCACCATGAGGCTTGGAGAGGGGCGACAAGTCGAAAGAGAAGCCTGTGGAGAAGCAGAGGTTAGAGGTTAACAAGAGGATTTAAAGTAAAGAGACAAGAAAAAGGCAACCACAGGTTCTTTTCTTCCTGGTTTGCCAACATGAAAGTAACATGTGAGGGGGCACACGTGTAACCTACCATGATACAGGTGTTACATTCTCCACTAGGTGGCAGTATCGACCAAGAGTAGTGAAACCATGGTGTGTTCAGATAACTTTTTATTAATTAACCTTTTCAAGATTATTATTTTGACATTCCTGGCGTGCGCACACACATGCACACACAGATGCACACAGCTGGAATTAATTGCTAAGAAAACATAATTCATTTTGGATTTGGAAGTATCAATTTTTAAAACGATCACATATTAAATGGAGCTAGATCCACATTCACTTTTCTATCCCCTTTTTGTATTTATATATCAGAAGACAACAGGTGTTTTCTTTATTTATATACACTACAGTTCATTTAAACTGCATAAAAACTACAAAATATGCAATGAGCTCTAAACTGAATTGTCTGGAAGATGATGAAAAAAAAAAACAGATTTAAAAAGAAAAATTGTAAATCAAGAAATACTTAAAACTTTGAATTGTGATTTTTTTTTTGCCTATTTATTTGTCCTTCATTTCTTCCACATGTAAAGTATATTTGACAGCAAAGCACAATCAGTTGTATTTGACACAGACTGTCAGATTGTGTGGAGAATGTTGACGATGGCAGACAAATATAGAGTAGGTGCGTCCCACTGAAGGCAACAGTGTTAATTAGAGCTAAAATCAGTAGTCAGTTAATCTCAGTTCACTGCTGTTAAATTTAAACTTAACTGAATTCAGTGCGAGACATTAACGTCAGCATTTAGTCATTTTGTCGACTGACAGAGGTTTACCCTGACTTTTACAAACAGCAGTGTTTTTCAAATACAACACTATGTTGTCCTGCTTGGAAAGGACAACTGGGTGAAATAAATGTGATCAATGCATTCACTGTCTACTGAGGTAAAGCAGACTAGCCCAGACTTACTTTGCAAATCTTTAAAGAGCTTTACTGTGTGAATCAGTGAAGAAAACATTACAACTTAGTCTGCAGTCAGTTAGTGTTTATTATAATCTGTAACTCTACAGAGATGTTGACAATCAACTGATTTATGGGTGTGATTTTTGCACTTTTACAAATGCGTTTCTGTTTGTTATGATTTTTTAAATTCAATATAAGTGCTGGGTTAATTGTACCATTTTCTAGCAGTTCACAGTCAAAACAATGAACTACATCATGACTGTAGTGATTCAAAGCCAGTGGAAAATAATTTTAAGAGCGCAGAAAGATATATGATCAGATTTCCAAGTGAGACGTGAAGGATCATGATTACCCCCTTTTATCTTTCAAGGAAAAACTTATACAGAAACTTATTTATGGATTTATGGCTGCGAAATACCATTTTCTCCTTCC